CTAATTAAGGATATTTTGATTTGAAATGATTTTTTTTATCTGATCTATGAACGTTTTACTTTAGTGTATATTAAATACTAACATAAATCTTTGATATATTTTTTGCCGAGAGTTCTGATCTCGGAATGCTTTATTAATCACATATATAACAATCATATCGTGATACTAAAAGTGGTGTTTAAGAGTTAGCTAAATAAGTTAGACGGCGTATAAAGTGTAATTCTTTTACTCATGGATGTAATTTAATATAATGCATTGTGGTCATAAAATTGAGATCATTTTTCATTTCTTAATATGAGGCATCTTTTTTTTATTGCATAATTTTACATGTTTATGTTTCAGTTGTTACCTACCATTTGATGTAGATTCTTTTTATACACTTAATTCAGTTGGCCTTCTAGGTAAATATTGCTTACTGATCGAAAAATAAATCAATCTAACGAAAAATAAATCAACCTCTATTAATCGCGTTATGCAACCGGCCTGTTGTCGCCGCCGCCACCTTTATTAAAATCAGAATGTCACAAAATTATATATTTTGAAGTACTTTCTTAAAGAAGGAGATATAAGGACTAATTTGCTCAATTCTAATTCCTATAAAGGCTAATATCTTAAAAAAATGATCACACCAATTATTAATTGTTTAAATCTAAATCCTTTAAAGGCTAATATCTTACAAAAATGATCACACCAATTATTAATTGTTTAAAAACTTACAAAAATGTATAGTTATTAGTTTTGAAAAAACAGTAAGCTACGAATGAAATCTAACAGATAAAAATATGCATTGAGCTTTTTTTTTGTTTAGATAAAGATGGTTGAAAAAACAAAGTTCATTTGGATGCGACAAGAGTCAACGGTGGACCCAAAGGGGAGCTAATGCCCACCCCCCAATTCTTTTCCTACCCAAATATATTTACCCCGAAATTTTAATATATACTCCGTATGTATTTGTATGTATTTTTTTACACCGCCGCCCCTTCTAGCGGGAATTCTTGCGTTCGCCACATACAAGAGTTATAAAAATTAGCTCTTTTAAATATTGGATAACATAGGCTGAGAACATGTTTAAATAATTAGTTAAAAAGTAAAACATACTCAATAAATAAGAATGAGGAAGTGGTCAAGCCCGACTGGTCACTACCTCACTCTTCCTTACGGAGGTCTCGGGTTCAAAACTTAATGTAATGAATTTCAGCCCAATTACAGACACCCTCAGACTCCCCCTGGAGTAAAAAAAAAACAAACTCAATAAATAAGAATATACTTTATGAACCAATGTTATAATCGACCAAATTAGAGACTCTCCATTAATTCTAATAACTCATACATCAGTGCGCGTGCACACACATAAATAGTAAAACTAAAACAGAATCATTCAAGGGCGAAGGTAGGGGGCAACCGGGCCACCCCTAAAATTTCAAGTTCTTTGAACTTTTAGTGTAATTTTTTTTGTCTAAAACTTATCTGAAAAAATTTTTTATATCGGTTCACTCCAAGCTTCAATCCTGACTACGCCCCTAAAATCGTTTATCCCGTGCACGACACGGGTAAAGATATTACGTACTCCCTCTGGTCCCTATTAAAGTTCTCACTTTCCTTTTTGGAATGTCCCTTATTGAAGTTCACACTTCCATTTTAGGAAACAAAACAGTATAAAACAGTGCCAAACAGTGTCAAATAGTGTCTAAACAGTGTCAAACAGTGCACTCTACAATAAAATCAAATTTATTTTCTTAATCTGTGTGAAGTCAAACTGAGAACTTTAATAGAGACTGGAGGGAGTAGTATTTTATATTTATATCAGCACGGAACAATTTTCATGAACGAATGCTTTTTTTTTTGTTTGTGCCGACTGCCGAGTGCCGACATGGTTGCTTCCAAATTTCCAATGATTATTGAATGGGTTCGGCCCAATTACCAAGTTCAGAATTTGGTTACACGAATTTTTATTGGAGCCCACTTGTCATTGATTGGACTCCAGCGTTAAAGGGGGCTAAACTTTTCATTGCCAGTTGAGCACTTTTTGCAATGAGCATCATTATAGGGCCTTTAACCTTTTCCTTTTAAAAAAAGGCTAAAAGGTAAAACAATTTGAAAAAATCGTAAAAATTAATTTAAAGTTGGATTTCATACTTTGACGACGTATATTTGTTTCAAAAGGTGACTTAACTGCAAATTTGGAACAGGGCTAATTAGAAAATATTACAATGTTAGTACATAACCACTAAAGTAGCAATAAATATGAGTTTATTAGTAATTGTAATAAAAAATGAATTTGCATTTCTCTTTGATTTTGAAATGTATAATACGAGGCATGTAATGCTTATCGCAGTGGTACTGTGGTAGAATAGTTGTGACTTGTGACTTGGTGGCTTTGGGAGCAAACCGGTCATGTATCTTTCAAGATCGGAGGTGAAATTTTCTGGATTTTTTAAATTATGTACTTAGTAATAAAGAAAAGAATTGTTTTTAGGTAACATTATTAATTGTATATTTAAACGAAAAGAGAAAGAAATTATTCAATATAATAACTATAACAATAACAATAACAATAACAATAACAATAACATTCAAGTATTAGTCTCAAAAGATACTCCGTATATGTTATGCTTTAAAGAATGAATCGATACATGATATCAGAATTAGAATGAAAACAAAGATAAAAATATTAAAAGATAAGATGTCATAAAAAAATAAAATAAAAAGTCTCCTTTTTTTCATGGCCTACCCCCCTTACAATCAAGCTTCCACTGTTTTATGTTAATCGGTGCGACTTTAGAGAGAGCGAAATGAGGGGCGAGTATTCGTGTAGCGGATCTAATAAAAAGGAGTCACTCGAGATTCCTCTAACCCACAATGTATATAAGGAGTATGTTAGTGAGACAAATGTAATAATATATTCACTATAATACGGAGTATGATCCACCGCGTTTAACATGTTGCCAATAAAAATCGGAGTGATTTCATAATTTGACATGCATGAGTCATCTGTATTTTGATTTATAACATTTCATACTCTTAAGTCTCAAGTCTCAAATTATCCCACATTCCCACCCCCATTAGTTTCATATTGTAGAGCTGCATATGCAATGCCAATTGCCAAATATTAAAAAGAATATGCTTCTTACTCAAGTACAAAATCATTATGATTTAAAGTAGAAATATAATCAAAACCAATGCAGCAAAGTCTTAGAATAGGTCATTATCATTTTTTTTTTCTTATGTGGTTGTATGGATGAAATAAGTTTGAGTATGTTAAGTCTAAATTTAAAATGATATATATATTGTAATTTCTCAAACTTTACTGTTTTATAAAATTGAAATAAGTTCTGAGTATGCTAAGTTGAATTTAAAATGATACGTCTGATTTATCAAACTTTACTGTCATATAAATCGATGGACGATCACAAAAGAGTTTCACATTGTTCTTATAATCTTATGCACTTTTCATTTGATCCTTTTCTCTCTCTATTAGTTACAATAAGTAACGCAAAACATAATTAATAATCAGCTCACACAATTAATCATCATCAAATGTTATTCGGTAATTATGAAACATTTTAAAAATCTTGTGGACTTTTAAGAAGATAAACCTTAAAAGAATTGTTAACTTGGAAACATGTGATGTGATAATAAGTTCATGGTTCTTAGTTGACGTTTAGACGATAAGATTTTCCTAAGAAAAAATAGTTGTATTCGATCGAAAAAATAATTATTTCGACACCATTTTTAAATCATATTGCGTATTTAACCTTATAATAAAGCAAGTTTTCAACAGTACAAAAACAAGTTTTCATAAACAAAATGTACAATAAAATGAATAGAATGATAAAGATAATAGTAAGCTAGAATACTAGTAATAAAAATAATAACAGTAATTATACATCTTCGAAGTGGTATTACTAAAATAAAATAAATCTGGAAGAAAAGTATGTTCACATATTCAGTGGCAGAGTGAGAAAAATGATCCAGAGATCGAAACTTATCTATGTATAGATGATAAAGAAATAATTACATAAATATGACCAAAATAAAGATGGTTTACAAAAATATGATTCATTACTAGAGTAGTAATGAAATCATAGTAATTCATGTTCAAATTTTGAACTTTAGTTACCACAGCACTACGGTGTAGTAATGAATAGTCATATATATGTAAATAAGTTTCATTTTAGTAATATTCTCGTAAAAAACCCATAGACAAATGGAGTAGTTCACATGAGACTAATAGAGCTATAAATTTGATATATAGCAAAATCGTAGCAAAATTTTGGATCAACATTTTGCATCAAATTGGACTCATTTTAAGTTTAGATAGTACTCATTTAACAGAAATCATTACTCTATGAACGTAATGAGTTACGAGAGTCGTATTATATCAAATCGAAAATATTTCAGAGTTACTTTTTGACCATTCTGACCCCTTGGCTCCGCCCCCTACGCGTTTTCGTAATCTATCATTACACTCACAATAAATATTACGGAGTAAGAAATGGTTAATACATACTACTAGGCCGTTTGGCAACATTGTTTTTCGGCTTATCAGGCTTATTAGCGAACTTTTTCACCAAACACGTAACGTTTGCTTTCACGCGCTGAATTGTTTATTAAGCATAAAAAATAAGGTTGAAGTTACTTTTCTGGCTGTATTGACTGAAGTTACTATAGATGACCATTTTAGATATTTTTACATCTAATCTTTTCTTTACTTTATTAATAAAATATATTTTTATTTTTTTTCAATCAGCCAATATTGCAAGTTTTTCAGACAGAATTTTATAAATTTCAGCATGATCAGTCAAATCAACCGATTTTCGTGTTGCAAATTGGGCTCTACATACTACGGAGTACATAGAATTGTGAAATGAACAAAAAAAATTGAAGTTGGGGATTCAATCTATTTCAATTTTTTTTATGAAATGAAATAAAAAGATCACCTAATTACATTTATTAGTTTTTCTATTCTAATAATAATGATAAGAACAGTAGTAATATTGCGGGACCGAGACCACCATCCCTTCTGTCTGAATTAAATCTATGATTTTTGAGTATTTATCGCTCTCCTCGCACTCTTCACCGGATTTAGATTTGGTTCTTTCCTCTCTTGTGTGAACTATATATCCACCCATTGTTTCTGTACAGTGCTTATCTATAGATTTTTTGTATAGTGCTTGATCCTTTTTTTCTTGTATAGTTCCTTTCTATTCTATTGCGGTATCTGTGGTTCATTTGTCTAATTCCGGCTGATTTGACCATTAAGATTTCAGTAAATCTATCGTCTTTGCTTTAAATAAGCAAGCATCATAAGCTCTTAGCTGATTTTTTGGGGTTTCCCATCGAAAAGATCGAGTCTTTACCCTGTACATGTGTCAATTCTATAACTTTATCACGACTTCGCCGTCCTTAAGATCTGGGTCTCCGGAAATCTCTTAAAAAGGAAAGCCCGGGGAGATGAAGTGGAATTATGGGTCCTCGAAGTGTAGGAGTCGCCGGCACAGCTCGGTGGTGGCGGCGGAGGAGACAGCGGCGGTGATGATGAGGCGGAGCAGCTGGGCTGACATGCCCATAGAGCTGCTGAGAGAGGTGCTGATGAAGGTGGAGGAGTCAGAGGGTAAGTGGCCTTTGAGGAAGAGTGTGGTGGCTTGTGCAGGAGTCTGTAGGAGCTGGAGGGAGATCATGAAGGAGGTTGCCCATACCCCTGAGGTTTCTGGGAGGATCACTTTCCCTATTGCAGTCAAGCAGGTCTGGTCTGGGTTGCCTTCTACAGTATAATATTGTTTCAATCAATTCATTTTATACTTTTTCTCATCTTTCTTCTTTTATGTCCTTGTTGGATTTGGATTGGTTTCTTGGATTTGAATTTTCTTGTCAGAATTTAGTTTCTATGATGCTGTTTTAGTAGAGGCACCCTGTTTTATTGATCTTTGATTGGGATAAGATGCTTACTTTTTTGTACTCCCTCCGTCCCAGAATTAACTTCGGTTTTGACTGGGCACGGAGATTAAGAAAGTGGGAAATGTGTGGTGGAGAGTTGTGCAGAGGAGAGAGAAATGTGTAAGAATGGTTGTGAACCACACATCCTTTGCTAAAAAGGGAAAGAGGAGATAAATTTGGGACGAACCAAAAAGGAAAGAATGAAGATAATTATGGGACGGAGGGAGTATTATTTTTAATTTATGTGTCTGCTGCACCAGTTTTGTAGATTAATGGCGTTTGGGAGCACTATAATTTTGCAAAATAAGTGATTTTGTGGAATTTCTAGGTGCAGATACTTATTTCTCAACTCCCCCTCCATTAACTACCTCCATTTATTTGTCTTGAAAATTTTAGTTGTAATAGTACTTGAATAAGTCATTTTCACTATTAGAAGTAATGATGTTTCTTGTTAGACAAAATGTTAATTATTGGCATGTTAGGTATTCTAATGTATTAGGTATTAGTGTATTACATACGTACAATATATTTTGCTTCTTTAAGTATCTAATATTGGAATGAGTTTATTTCCTTTTTCTTGTTGTCTTGCTAAAGAAGTGTATGGATATGATGTGCAGCCTGGTCCAAGAGACAATCTGATGCAATGTTTTTTAAAGAGGTGCAGTTCTTCTCAGACATTTCGCCTTTACCTCAATTTGACTCAAGGTAGGCAAGCCATATGTAACTTGGAGTTTTCTCTAGTTTTTTTTTTTTTAAAATTCAATCAATATTTACATAATTAATGATCTGATCACACATTTCAAACATGTATCACGTACTCTGATGTTTCATTTAATCTGATTTATTTGGCAGCTTTGACTGATGATGGGAAGTTTCTGCTCGCTGCCCGCAAGTATAGACGGACCACATGCTCAGACTATATTATATCTCTCCATCCCAGTGATATGTCTAAGGCAAATGGCAACTATGTGGGAAAAGTGAGGTGGGTTATGCAACTACATCGAGACTAGTTTTTAGAGATAGAGCCCAACAATTTTAGACTAACTTCGTTGAGCTTAAATATTTCCAAGAAGTCCAACATCATTTGTAAATCCATAAGAGATAATAAGAGTATAAGTCTCAACTTCAAAATCTAAGCAATAATAAGGTTTGGGAGTCTATCTCTCATAATAAACTATTCCTTCTATTAGGTTAGTCTTTATAGAATCGAATCTCAAATCTCGATATCGTATGAGAAATTTAGAATCATTACTCTCAACGAGCATCTCGATTGGGCTACATTTGAGACACATTGGTTCCAAGATTGGTTTGTTTCAGCAAGACACCGTTTGTAAGGCATGTTACACCATCATTTGTTAACTAAATATAAAGTTGGACTTAGACTAATCCATGTAAACTTTTAAAACGGAACCTCAGGTTTTTAATACTCCGTAATTCATAGAATACTTGAGAACTAAGAAGAGCAAATCTATCTTTTTTTCGTATAGGTCAAATTTTCTGGGAAATAAGTTTACAATATATGATGCTTCACCGCCACTTAAGGGAGCTAAAATGGTGAAAAGTCACAATACTTTTCCTGAAGCCTTGAAACAACTCAACTCGAGAGTGCCAGTAGGGAACTATGAAGTAGCTCACATTTCATATGAGATGAATGGGCTTGGGAACAGGTACTATTATTTTGTATTGTTTATGGCTGGTTAAATAACTGTACCGACCCTCTAGTAATTTGAATATATACTTTTAATAGTAGACACCATGTCACCCTTTAAAAAATATAATTTGAATATATACTTTTAAAAATTAAATTTAAGAAAATGACAGCCCCTCTAGAAGGCATATTAGGGCAGTTTATTAATAAATTTAAGAAAATGACAGCACCTTGGTCTCTGTGAAATCAAAATCATGCCTTATAATAAGGACTAGAGGGAGTATTTGAAATGAAGGCGAAAATGTCATCTACTTCTGTTTCAGCAAAAAATTCTGAGTCTTTACTAGTCATTCAAATTATGTAGTGTTTGCCATTGCTTTGAAAAGCACTCTTGTTCCTTTTACGTAGCAAATGCTAAAAGTAATGTTCTCAAATAGGTGTTAATGCTAAACTTGAAGCACTTTAAAGCTAAAAGCCATACTCAGGGAGCATGGTTCTTAAAAAGACGTTTCACCTTTCTCTAAAATTTTACCCGAATAACACATTACCTAACTTTCCAACTTCTAATTTTTCAAAAACTCTTGGTTTCAAAAGCTACAAAGTTTTACAGTTAAACACTTTCTCTAGAATCTCCAAAATTAATCACTTCTCACCATAAAAAGAAAACACTACCTTATTGCTTGGTAGAAAAACCAGACCATTAGACGGACACTTTGACCCTCTTCATAATGGTTATTTGACTAACACATGATTATTTTGAAAGGAAAATGTGTTTCATTACGTCTATTTTAGCTGAATAAGTATGCCAAAACTCTTAAGGCCTATACTTATAAGCAGAATAAGCCAATTGTGGCTACCAAAGATGCGTACAGATGATCACTTTTTCTCTTATCCAAACCAGGGGTCCGAGGAAAATGCAGTGTGTTATGGATACTATCCCGGCATCTTCAATTAAACCGGGAGGTGTTGCCCCTACACAGACTCATTTTCCAATCGGCAGCAGCGATACTTTTCCAACAATACCCTTTTTCAGATCAAAATCCACATCAAGAGCATCTGAGAGTTGTCCGTCAGGTGGATCTCTAGTTCTGAAAAACAAAGCTCCCAGATGGCACGAACAACTACAATGCTGGTGTTTGAACTTTCATGGACGGGTGACAGTCGCTTCAGTCAAGAACTTTCAGTTGGTAGCTTCTCCGGAGAATGGGGCCGCGGGACCTGAATGTGAAAAGGTCGTTCTACAGTTCGGGAAGGTAGCGAAGGACGTTTTCACCATGGATTTCCGTTACCCGTTATCTGCATTTCTTGCATTTGCCATCTCTCTTAGCAACTTTGACTCGAAGTTGGCTTGCGACTAATACGTGAATGGCAAGGTGTGGTTCTACCTACCTCCTTTTTTTAATGTTCATATAACTTTGAGAAATGTTAAGGGCCTGTTTGATAAGGGTTATTTGGTTGAAATGAAATGGCTGGATTGTTGAATGCTATGAACGTAAAAGCATTTTGTGATATATATGCCAAGAAGCAAGTCTAAGGCTACCTTTTTTATGGTTCTGCACTTCTGCTGGTAAGCAGAATAAGCCACGTATTCTGCCAAATGAGACCTAAATGTTATTTATTTGGCAACTATCTCCTACAATTTTAGGCTTCTGTTTTTATTTAAAGCATGTTTGTAAGGGTTTTGCAGCTGAAAAGGATGAATTTACGAGAACATTCTGAAAAGAAAAATGTTTTGAAAATCCCATTTTAGCCCATTTCAAAACCTTTTGTTCTCACTAAAAGATCCACTAGTTGTGACTCAACCCTCTTTTGGTCCTCTGTTAAGGTTTTTGAGGTTTGATCCTCAGCATATGTTTCCTTTACTGTGAATGTGATAAAATTCGAAATTTTCAAACAAAAAGTAAACAACTAAAAATGAAATTAGATCATATTCAAACCACTGAATATTTAGGTGATGGGAGACGAACTTTCCAACAATTCCAGTCATTTTATTTCTTTCAGATAATTAAAACAGAAAAAAAAGACATCCTGATGGAACCTTACCATTTCAATGCCATCAAAGCGACCGCGAATCCGCGATCAATAAAATTGCTAAGCGAGAGGTTTTGCACAAATGGAGAATGCTGGAAATAAGATGGCAAAGCTTGAGTGTGTGCTTCACAGTTTTACTTTGGTAATTTGTCTATTGTATCCTCTATTAATCTTGTTTACACTAGACTAGTCAGTATTTGAGAGAAAAATGGAACTTTATAAAATAGGATAAATTGTCTTAGCTCATAAATCATCTTGCTGTAAATTCTTGACTAAACTTCCATCTTTGTTCTGGCAGTGTTGGTCTCAATCAGTGTATCTTCTTCCTTCATAGACAACCCTTTTTGGTGTTCATTTTCTACTTCCACTATATGTCATGTCAATTTCCCTATCCTGGTTTTGAATGCGGTTTTGTTGTCTACAATGTGTAACATCAACTATGCACTATCTCAATAAACAAATAAATTAATAAAATCTAGGTCTCAATAATTAGTCGACATTACAAATAAAAATAAAATAAAATGCATGTCCTTAATAAGTATTATTTGATTTTAGACGTTACGCGTTAAGTTGATGTCACCAAGTCCACTATAATTAAACATTAAGATGGTGCTCGTGATGATGATGACAACTATGATGATAAGGGTAGCATCAGCGTATTGTGGGAGAGAATATGCTTAAAATGCTAGCTGGAATGGAAAGGCAAGGCAACACTTTGTTTCATCTCTTGTCAATGTTAGCTGGTCTGCGCTGCTCCTATTAGATAGGGCCAAATTGGTGGGTCTAAGAAATTGCAGGCTTTTAAATTTTTTATATAATCCAATTAGTTTCATCGATACCGACTCCAAAGGGCCGAAGGGTGAATTAGTAAGACTTTACATCACATGCTTCTTCTAGGCTGCTCCTTCCTGTGTTGCACGGATACGCGAATAATACGGGTACGGTGATACGGCAATTTAAAAAATTATAGGATAAGGGTACGGGGGTATATTTATAAATAATAAAAATATAGGGTATATTTTGCAAATATATATAATTCAGGGGTTCATAAATAAAATAATAATATTAGTCTATTATAATAAAATTTCAAAGATTAGTCTAAAAAACTAAAGTATTGATATTTTGATCTAAATTCAAATAACATTTTTTGTTCTCTATTTGCATTTACATCTAAGTCTTGTTTCAATTAAAGTTCATCAAGCAATGAAATGACAAATTATAGTATTCCATTATTTTCCATACTCCCGAAATCATCTTTATCAATTTTCCACATGTTGTGGTCGCTTGGGCGGCTACTAAATTTTCGTTATGTCGTGTATCAAATGAGGGGTTATAAGGTCAGATACGCGTATCGGTTCACGGATATGGGTATCGGAAGTATCGATATTTTTAAAATTAAGCCCGATACTTTTATTAAATTACGGATACAGACCCAATACGTACATGACGCGTATCGGTGAGTATCGGATACGGATACGTATCGGATACGCGGATACGGCATCAAGGTGAAGTATCGGTGCAACATAGGCTCCTTCTAACACATCCGCTCCATTCATTGTCATGTTCTTCCTTCTCAATCGTTGAGCTACTCCGTGAAGATAAGAAGAGTAATGGGGAACACGACCTTCCTCATCTCTCCTAGGTGAGAATATATTGAACCCAAGATCTCTTACAAAGGAAAGATTTGGGGTGGATGATTACCCGCTGAGTTCGCATAATGAAAGTTCAAAGTGTGTATATATTAAAATGGTGTATATTAAACTTTCATTTTTTATATCGAAATTATTTATTTTTATATTAAAGATGGAGAACGAAGACAAATACGGAGTATAAATGTATTTTAATATATATTAAAAAATCGGTTCGATTTACAATTTTTCAATTTAAAATCAAATAAAACCGCTGGGTTTGAGCATGTTGATATCAAACAGTTCACTTTGGTGAACTTAATTAAATTAAAGTACTAATTTTTTCATTTAATTCGACTGGGTTGAACACTTGAACCTAATCGTTTTGTGACTGTTGCCCAGCCCGACCCTAATTAATCACATTCTTTACCACGTGGGAGAGGAAGCTTCCTCCCACTGCAGCTTGATATACGACTCACGTGTTAGCTTATGATGGTTTTGGACAATAATATCGAGCTCTTAAAATTAGCACTACGGGGCAGAACTACCGATTTTGATGCTATATTATACCTAGCACCTTAGCTCAATTAGTTGAGTGATAGAAAAGTTGGAACAGAATGAAAATCTGCAGCAACCGTGTGGAGGTTAACTCTTATGTTCTGTCTGGACTTCTGATGTGCACAAGTACATAGTGATTGAGTCAGTGTGACTTACATCCTCTTAAATGTCTTGTCGGGTTGGAACATGGGACCCCTTGAAGTTGATGATTCAACCTTTTGAAAAATTTAGAGTCACCCATATTCTGGTTTTCATTCCGTTTGAGGCAAAACATTGATTGTGTTGCTACGTTCCAGTTCAGAGTTTATAATCCAACAAACTAAACTACAGAGGACACAAACATATTTTCACTAGCTTGAAATTTGAAATGTAATAAAAATATCATAGAGCACCTGAAATTTTGTTTTTGGTGCATCAATTGATTCAATTTTACTTCTAATATCCAACTCAAAATCACGTTGCATGCTCTATATCAGTCTTTAAAAAATGGGGATACTATTTTAGAAACAGAAATGCTAGAGATACACAAAATGTTGGTCACAAACATTTGGTACGAAGTTGTCTCTGATTGAGTACAGACAAGAGTTGTCTGTATACACAGACAACTTTTGTCTGTGTCCACAGACATTTATTTTTGTATAAAAAGTACACTGATAGTCGTCTGACACTGACACCAACTTGCAAATCAATCAATATATGTGCAGTGTCTGTGTGCACAGACAATATTTTCATGTTGCACAGACAATTATTTATCTGCGTGCACTGACAATATTTACCATACAGACAATAGTTGCGCGGCTCAGACAATAGTTCTCTTTGTGTGGTCAACTTTAGTTGTCGGTGTGATCAACTTCAATTGTCTGGGTGAACAAAATATTCAATTGTCTCTATACATCCAAATGAATGATGTAGTTGTATGTATAATCAATTTAAAATAATAAAAATAGATTAAATAAGATGAATAAGCTTAATTTGTGCAAATAATGGAAAAAATGATAAAAGAGGTAGAGAAAAGAGGATGAAGAAGAAAAGAGGAGGATGAAGAGAGAGAAGGGAAGAGAGAAGGGAAGAGAGAAGGGAGAGAGAACCGAGAGAAAAGAGGGAGGGGGGAAATGATTTTTTTTTGCTTTTATACCATGTACAGCTTATGTACATGGTGTGTACACTGAGCATTTTTGTTTTTGAAATGAGTTAAAACTAGGGGTGGGTAGGTGAAACCGGAAATCGAAAATCGAATCAAAAAACTCAACCGCAACCAAAACAACCGAACCGCAAGAAAACCGAAACCAAACTCAAAAAATCAAACCGAACCGTAGTTGTTTGGTTTCAGTTTTGGTTTCACATCTCAAAATCGAACCGAACAAACCGAACTTTTTAAAACTTGTTATTTTATTTATTAATCATTAAGTATAATATTTTGTTTAGCTATTAATTCTTAATTCTAGAAAATTAATGTTTGAAACTAGATTTTGTTATGATTTGCAAGATATTGACATTTAATATTTATGGTTCAATTAAGTGAAACATTTGTACATACATCTAAGTCTATTGTTATAATACTAATATGTTGATATTTTAAAGAAAAAATTGAAAATAATAATCCCAAGTATTGCCGGTCCGCTAACAATAATCTCAATTATTGATTATTTTTGTATAATCCCAACTATATGGATCCTCCGCCAATAATGGTCCATGACAAGAATAACATGTGAATTTTAAATAGAAATTAAGAGTAAAAATTAAAAGTTGAGATTATTTATAGGGATTACCTGCTATATCTCTTCTTATCCACTTTAGAAGCTATAAGAATTTATTTATAGCCGGTCATGCCGGACCATTATTGGGGGAAGGTCCCTAAAGTTGAGATTATTTTTAACTTGTGAATACACTATATATAATTTACAAATAAATTCATGCGTTTAATAAATTTAGAAAGCGTTTGAATTGGCATACACATCCTCTCTAATTCATTGGTTGAAATTACATTTGTTTCTTCTCTCTTTTTAAATTATGTTTTTGTATTGTATTACTATTAGTAATAGTTTGGTGTAGTTTATTTTTTTTTTTGTTTTCCAATTACTATTTTTTAATCAACAAAAATATTTTTATAAAAATCGAAAAACAGAAACCGAACCGAAATAAATCGAACCGAACAAACCGTGATTCCAAATTTTTGAACACAAAACCAAACCGAACCGAACTTTTTTCTTTGGCTCAACATTTGATTTTAGGGGAAAACCGAACTGTTTGAACCGAACCCACCCATACTTAAAGTAACATTGAAGGTATTTCTTCGAGAAAATGGTCAAAATGGTACATGAAGTTGTTTCGACAGGAGTAAGTAGTACCTCATCTTGTATTTGAAATTTTAAAGTACATAAACTTGCATTTTTATAGTCGATCAAGTACATCTGCTCTGTCAGAACGTTAATAGCTGACCTGGACAAACTATCCATTTGTATTATACAGTTGCAGTCCAAGTAATCAAATAATTAATCTATAAACTCGGTTTTTCTCTCGCCTACTCATTTTCCCCTTCACTCATCATCTTATATTTAACTCATGTGCTTTTCTTTCTCTCCACTCTACATCTTATATTTCTCCTGTCTGCACTCCCTGCTATCCCGCCAACTTCTTTTTACTCTATTTTATTTTCTTTTTCTCTTGCTATAATAAAGATGGATCAATAATAACAAATAAAAGAAGAAGCTGGCAGGATATCAATGACAACAAACGAGAGAGAAGGATAGCGGCATTGGCGGAGCTAGAGGGGGGTCAACCTAGGTCCTTGTCCATCCCAAATTTAAAAAATGTGTTAATTTTAAAGTAGAAATTCTACGCAACTTTTTTTCAAATATATTATTTGTAATGGTCCAGTCCGGTCTAGTGCCCTGGCTCCGCCCTTGAAGTGCAGACGAGAGAAATATAAGATGAAGAGCGGAGAGAATGAAGAGCAAACATGAGAAATATAAGATGAAAAGTGAAGTTGGAAACGAGTGGAATAGAGGAAATTGGATTTTATAGATTAATTATTTGATGACTTGGATTGCAACGGTACATTACAAAATGATAGTTTGGCCAGATCAACTATTTAAATGTTCTAGCAGAAAAAATGTACTTATTCGACTTTAAAAGTGCAAGTTCATATACTTTGTAGTTTAGAGTGTAAAATGAAGTACTACTTGCTCCATTTGAAACAAGTTCAAGTATCATTTTGACCATTTTCACGTATTTCTTCTTTAACCTAACATTTCTCTATAAGATCGAGCTTCCATATCTTATTAGTCACCACTCATTACTCATAGGAGGTGTCATGATTTCGTGTCTTAGACCATTTATAGTGATAAAGGATTAGGAGTCAAAAGATTAAAAATGGATCTTTTAGACTCCCACTTTTACTCCCCATTTTAATCCACCACTACACCTAATTAGGAGTCTAAAAGATCTATTTTTAATCTTTTGACTCCTAATCCTTTACCACTATAAATGGTCTAAGACACAAAATCATGACACCTCCTATGAGTAATGAGTGGTGACTAATAAGATATGGAAGCTCGATCTTATAGAGAAATGTTAGGTTAAAGAAGAAATACGTGTTACACTTTAATAGGTATTTTTTCTAAATATGAGGTTCATTCGGGGTACGCCAATATTGAATATATAAAAATTAAAAAAAAATTACACTTTAAAAAATATCTTTTTTCTAAATGTTACATGGTAACACAAATTTTATTAGTCAAAATTCATAACTATTTATTATCTCTTATATGACACCAATTTTGAATATATAAAATTAAAAAGAATATAAATTTGTGCAGTTTAGGATCATTTTTTACCGTGCACACAATTAATCACAGGTGATAGATTAGAATAAAACGGCACAAGGAATAAAACAATACATAAATTGATGGAGTTTGTGCAGTTTTATTCTAAGCTATCACTACAAATAAATGTGTGCATTGTAAAAAACAATTCTAAACTGCAAAAATTAATAATTTTTTTCCGATGAACCGCCCCAAACTACTCAAAAAAATTCATCAAATTTGAGCAACATTCCCCTCCCCTCCAAAATCCAACTTCCAAACACATCCTTAGCAAACGATCACTTCAAAACCATAAGCCTAAAGGCAAGTATGGAGGTCCTTAGTAAGTAAATTAAAAGAACATTTACCAAAATAAGGTTATGTTAAAAGTATTTCTCAAAATACTGCTCCCCTAAACCTTAGTTAAAAGAGTCGTCACTTCACGTGGCGGCTTAGGGAAAACATGTAACGCGTAGAAAATAGGCCAAAACAAGAAACACACATAGTAGTAACATGAGATAGGGCACCACTTTTTTATTTTACTCTGATGATTACAAAAAATAAATCAAAATTCATAACTTTTTTAATCTTTCATATATGACATTAATATTGAATATATAAAAACTAAAAATAAAAATTAACACTTTAAAAAATATCTTTTTTGTACATGTTATATTTTTTTTATTATTCATAAGACACTAATTTTGAATATGTGAAAATTAAAAGGTTAAAGGGTCAAATAGGTCCTCGAACTAATTGAAAAAGTGCAAATCACCCCATATATAGGAGGCTCTGTCCGGCCACTGCCATTTGGGGCGGTTCCCGGTGGAATTTTTTTTATGAATTTTTTTGATTAGTTTGGGGCGGTTCATCGGAAAAAAATTATTAATTTTTGTAGTTTAGAATCGTTTTTTACAATGCACACATTTATTTGTAGTGATAGCTTAGAATAAAACTGCACAAACTCCATCAATTTATGTATTGTTTTATTCCTTGTGCAGTTTTATTCTAATCTATCACCTGTGATTAATTGTGTGCACGGTAAAAAAATGATCCTAAACTGCACAAATTTATATTCTTTTTAATTTTATATATTCAAAATTGGTGTCATATAAGAGATAATAAATAGTTATGAATTTTGATATATTTTGTGTTACAATCGGAGTACACATAAAAACCATGTAACATTTAGAAAAAAGATATTTTTTAAAGTGTAATTTTTTTTAATTTTTAAATATTCAATATTGGCGTACCCCGGATGAACCTCATATATTTGTGTTACAATCGGAGTACCTATTTAGGAAAACCGCATTCTTTATTCTTATCTTGAGAAATTTTCCTAAAGCAACGGTATTAATTAATAGTAATAATAATATTAGCAATAATAATACTAATCCATATGTCAAACACCTGCCTACTGAAATAATCACCTATCAGTGAAGGAACTTTAAGGATGTTTTTACTTGGACTGTAATCTATCCCAGACCAGACCAGGACTGGATGTTTTTACTTGGACTGTAATCTATCCCAGACCATACCTGACCAGTCCTGAATAGTAAGAACATCCTAAATAAAATGTCATTTCCCAAAATTTATTTAGGAATTATGAAGATAGCAATCCAAAAGTCTATGCAGATTAGACCATATATACAAAAAAAAACTTGCTAACATTTCCCTCGCATTTCTTTCATTATACTCTAGAAAACCTTTAAACTTGCTATCATTTTTTCACTATGTGAAAAATCACCTCATTTGATGACAGAAATTGCTCTACGGACTGGATGTTTTTACTTGGACTGTAATCTATCCCAGACCATACCTGACCAGTCCTGAATAGTAAGAACATCCTAAATAAAATGTCACTTCGCAAAATTTATTTAGGAATTATGAAGATAGCAATCCAAAAGTCTATGCAGATTAGACCATATATACAAAAAAAAACTTGCTAGCATTTCCCTCGCTTTTCTTTCATTATACTCTAGAAAACCTTTAAACTTGCTATCATTTTTTCACGATGTGAAAAATCACCTCATTTGATGACAGAAATTGCTCTACGGCCTCTACCCCCCCCCCCCCCCCCCCCCAAATCACAAACTCGCTCAGCTACTCACTCACAATTGGAGCCTAGAAAACTCAGAATCTGCTGCTGAAACACTGTTAGATGTCTCTTCCGTCCGTGTAGCCACACTTTTGGAAGATGATGCCACCTGATTGTGGGGTGGGCCCCTTTGAGCTGGAGCAGCTGAGCATACTGGTACAACTGATCGGATTTGAACAGCTGGGGCCATGGCCCTTCCAAAAGGCAGCCTGCTCCTTTCGAGCCACGGCCTACTTGGTCGTGAAGGAAAACAACTACCAGTTCTTTGGCCTCCAAACATGGCACTTCTGTTACTATGAGAAGTTTCAGGGTAAAGGAGAGTAGGACGTCTCGTTGTTGATTGTTGGTGACTAGACCTCCAAGAGCAGGGTGTCGTGGGCCGGTCAACCTTGATTGCTCCAGTGTTGTTTCTTAAGAAGCCAGGAGGGACCCAACTGAGATCTTCACGGTTAAAAGTTTGCCCCTGAGAACTCACATTATTGGTATGCCACTCTTCTTCAACTTGGCTGTTCACTTCTATCTCTTCTATCCTAACCCGACTAGTACAAGTGGGAACCATATCACCAGCAGCCATGTACAAAAATGGACCACTTTGTATCAATGGGTCGCTTGGGAAGGTATATGGGCTGAAAATGGATTGTACAAAAGGGAAAAACTGAGGGCCAAGGATAGAAAGTGGGGGTGTAGGAGGAGAAGTCAGGAGGTAGCTTCTTGGGAGTGTCATTCCATGATGCCAGTTTTGATAGGAGGCAGCCACTTCTGGGGAAAGAGGAAAATATGTGTAGGGGATCACATCATTTCTAACAGCAGGAGGTTTTGATGGAGGTTTCCTTCTTTCTGTTAATTTAAATTTGGAAAGGTAGCGGGCAACAGATATTTGCTCCTGCTCCTCGTTTCCTCCATCATCTGAGGTGCAGCCAAAAGAAGAATCTTGCACTGATACTACACATGAACATATGGAAAAATAACAGATTTAGATTCAAACACATTTTTTAATAGAAATACTTGCATTAGAGGGTCCCACAGAGCGTCCCAATGAGATCTCAGATCGATGAATTTTCAGCTTAAAACTACTTCCTCAGTCTGTTCTCAAATAACTTTCCATTAACTAAATGTATTTTGTTCAAAAGTACATGATCATTGCAATCGAACAAAGCAAGGCACTATAAAATGACTAAATTGCACTCTCATATTAATTCTACTTTTATATATTGTTTTTACTACCTAGAATTCAATAGGGGAATGTTTGTCAATTTATGACAAAATTGATTATCACCTCAAAAAAATCCTTAATGGGCGGTTATTTGAGAATAGATGGATTAATATTTTGGGTCTAAAAACTTATCACTTTACAAAGAGCTCTGTGTTCCATGCAACTTGAAAAGTGATTACTATTTGGCCCAGATGTATTAAGTTTTGACATAAAAAGGTGATATAAGTCTCATGGATTAAGCTTCGTGATACCCTCTCATGCAAGCGTTGTGAGCTTCTATAAAGTGTACCCCAATATCTGAGGAAAAGTGTACGCACATTTCTTCAAGGAAAACCAAGCAGCCATTGCAGCACTTTTTTGAGCTTGCTTCTTTGTTTTAGCAGGCTCTCCTTTGAAACTCATCCCAGCAAGTTCAACTGTGCAAGCAAAAAGTGGAGCGCCTCCTACCCCAGATCTAATAGTGGTATAAACTGGAAGATTCAATCCAGCCCGATGTGCAGTTTCTTGAAGCAAGTTTTTGTAAACCCCAGTCTCATCCTGCACATATGCATGCAGAGTAGAAATCAGCAAGAAACTTGCGTTCAAGTTAATCATAAATAGAACTTTTGTTGTGTGAAAAATGGATTCAAGACATCAAATACTAGCTCTGTCCCCAAATTGTAAGATTTAGATTTGGGGCTTTCATGCTTTTTTAGAATATAAAGGTGATACCATTTAGCTTTCAGGTTTGTGTGTTGGAAAACTGAGAAGAAAAGGGGGGCCTACTGAGTAAAAAGCTATAAAAGATAAATGAAATGAAAACTTAATAAATAACGTTTGATTGAGAAAGTCAGAAGTGAAAATTCTATTGGAATAGACAAAAAAATGCAGATCTTGCAAAATGGGACATAAGGAGTGCTAAAAATGAAACAATAATAAAGAGCAAGTCAATAATTGAGTCAATCGCAGATAGCCCATTTAAATAAATACTAAGCAGTAAGCACATTGTAGACCTTCAGCCATCACAGATAAAATAAAATATCCATAAAATGGGAATTAAGTGACATTGTGAAACAACTGGTTACATGAATAAAAAATCAATGTTCAAGATCCAGGAAAGCTTCTGTTTCCTTTTGTTAACCCCCATAACTACTTAATTGCAATTGTGAATCTTAAAGCCCCTCTAATTTGATTATATTATTCATATGAACCGAATGCAGTACTTCTTGATCTTTCTTGTTTAATGTCAGAAATACATACAAAGTATTAAACTCAAATTGACATACAATGCACAAATGAAGTAGCTTGTGCCCAACTATTGCAGAAATGTTACAGATCTTTGAGGGCCAAAACGCTAATAAATTATTCTTGTGCAAGTAGTTTTGTCAATGATGTGTTAGACTAAAACCACAAAGAAGTGTTGAATTCCATCCCTAGTACTTCAGTAGAACATAGATGCCTGAATAAAAGGTGATATATTCTTACTAATATCGGGGGGAGGAGCGTTGTATCCTACCCTGTCAATAATGGCATTAATTAAGAATCCGGGGACTTAAAATGTGACATAGCAATATAGCATTCAATTCAACAAGTATGAATACTTTTTTTGGGAGGGGGGGGGGGGTGTTTAAGACAATTGAGAACGTAATTATCAGAGGAGGTATAAATGTATAATTCCTGACTGAAAGAGAATGTAAGAATGCATTTACTTCATATATAATATTATGAGTTTACCTTACTGTTTGGTTCGCGGAATATAATTATGTAAGTGTCAACTTATAAAAAGACTTGCAACTGGTTAAAATATTAGCAAGATACTACAATACCAAAGAAAATAGAGGTAAAATCATATATTCAAATTTGCCCCTATTTTACTAGAAAAATTAAATTGCAACGTTGATATTAGGTAACCCAATTACCTCAACAAAATAGGGTTATGCTACATTACTTTGGTTAGGTCACACTCCATGAACCCAAAACCCTTGAAGTGCATACAAAAACGGATTCTTAGAGTGCCATTGAAAATTTCAAATAAACATGTGCAGTGCCATGTGATCCTCTTATTGCAACTATTTGAAGAGGAAACATATCAGATAATAAGACACAATAAATGGGAGGAACCTAGAAGATAATGTTTTCTTGCAGCCAATAGAAAAATGTATTTATTCTCATAGAAGTATATAATAAGGAAATGGAAGGCACAATTACAAAACATCATAGAATTACCAAAACTCTTGCAGCTAATGCTCTTGAAGGGCCCTTCTGTGAGAGTGTTTTAAGTGCCACCTCAGCTGAAGCATGTTCTGCCTGCCTCAAGGTTGAGAAGAAGTTTGGGCTCTCAAAAGTTTCACCATTGAAATTTACTTTGGCTTTGAAGCGAGGTGCATGATCAGGTCCTTCTCGTATGCATGAGTAGGATGGCAAGTTGAAGCAGCTTCTCTGAGCTAACTCTTGAAGTTGATTCTTATACATCCTTGACACATAAGACTATCTAATGATTATCTGCGATTGAAAATCACATAAAATATATGAGAAAAAGGATTACAAACCTTTTCACTTCAAATTGTAGGATATATCCAGGTTTGATGTATGCCAAGCTTGCTTTTAGACGTTTTAGTCAAGAGTAAAGACATCCATCCAGATTGCACACGAAAAAATAGGTATTAATTAAGCCCTGAGAAAAAGAATATGCAATCATCCACTGCACAATTCAATAAAGATATTCAACAACACTTGTCCAAATGAATAGACTGAATAAAAGAAAAATATATACCAACTAAATAAGAAAACATTAAAAACCAACTAAATAAGAACTATTAAACCAACTCAGCAAGAAACTAATAAACCATCAAGAAAGGACTTACACCAAGCGATGTAACAAAAACTGCCTCTTTGCCCAAAAGGGTGACAAAAGGAATGCTCTAGAGAACACTCCTCAAATACTCGTAACTAAGGGTACATACCGAAACACTTTGAATGAATCATATAAATACACCAATATTCAAAAGCCAATTCTTTCTTATATTTAACAATTATACATCAAGATGGACTCGATTCCTTTTCGCCCAATTCCAATTGGTGTCCAAAAATTTATTTCCTCAATTCCAATTCATAAGTACGTATTCATAAGAAATACATGGTGTATATAACAAAAAAAAAAACAAAAACCTCAAATTTAGGGAAAAACATTGAAATCACCGAGTAAAATGAATACGAATGCTACATGGTATAAAATTCTCACCTATATGAAGCTAGTAAAAACGTAGCTCTGGTGACGAGCAGGTAATTGGAAACAGGCGCCATGCTAACGGAAAAAAGCAGAAGCACGGGTAAAGAATGCTGCCAGAGGGCCCGATTTGTGGTGAGTGATAGAACATGGAAGATCTAAACAGCAAATTGAACTTCCATGTACTTCTAATATGTGCCTGTACACTTTTCAGAATTCTGATGTGGCTTTCTGTTTTTGTTCTATCGTTCTGGGATTCTATTCCATTGACGAATCCATCAATACTCTGCTGAAGATAGAGCGAAAGAGAAAGCTACCCTTTTCAATTTAACTGCGCCATAAAGTTGTTGGTAATTACGATGTTCCCTGTAACTTTATACCAACACTATTCAAAAGTTCCACTTACACAAGTTGATTATAAATTGCATAACCCCATTAATCAGGCAGAGTCATGTTTAAAACGTTAGGAGCCTATTTGGGGTCCAAGCTTATCCGGCTTATTGATTAACTTTTTCATTAAACACGTAAATTTTGATAAACATTCATGAACACAAGTACATAACATAATATGTGGGTGTACCCTAACCCCTACCCCACCCTACCCTACCCCCATAACCTTAACCCCTACCTCTTCCTTACCCCTACTCTAACCACAACTTTACCCTCTGCTCCTATTCCCTCGTAACCCCTACCTGTTAGGGGTGGGGTCGAGGTAGGGACATGTGGTATGGGGTAAAGGGGTAGGGTAAGGGAGGTTGGTTAGAGGTGGTAAGGGCTAGGGGGTTAAGGTAGGTGGGGGGATGGGGTCGAGGTAGGGGCAGGTGGATGGTAGGGATAAAAGGGTGGGGTCAGAGTAGGGAAGAGGTACGAGGTGGGGTGGAGGTGGGGTAAGTAGGGTAGGATGGGTAGGGGTCGGGTGGGATCGAGTTAGAGGAAGGTAGTAGGGGGCAAAGGGGTAGGGGGTAGGTAAGGGGCTGGGGTGGAATGGGTTGGGGGTAGGTTGGGGGATGGGGTCAGGGTGGAGTAGTATGGACCCAGGCCGGGCCGGTTTCGATTCGGGCCTGGGCCCGACCGAGCTTTTTTTTGGGGAAGGGAGAACCGACCCGGGTAGGCAGCGGTTCCGGCATTTATTTATTGTTAGAAAATGAGAAAATCATTATACTCATCAACAAAATCAACTCGGAAGCATCTCAAATATCATAAAAAATGTCCAATTCCTGTTACGACGTCCTGACCGGAACCCCCGTGCAGACAACACCATCATAGGGTATTCCCAGTGTAATTTTTTGATGAAATGTTTTTGAGCATGGTCCTCATCAAGTCTAGTCTATTCATACAGAGTTTCAGCTCAAAATTCAATCGGGAAGATAGTTAAAAATTCTTGAAACATACTGCGTTTTATATATGTACAAAATGTGCTGTAAGAGAAGAGCCGCCACTTGAAGTGGCGGCCTTTGTACTGTAAGAGAAGAGCCGCCACTTGAAGTGGCGGGTTTTGTACTGTAAGAGAAGAGCCGCCACTTCAAGTGGCGGCTTTTCTTATAATTAGCATTATTTCGGGGGGGAAACTCCGCAAAGTGAATTGGGTAATAATAAGAAAAAGTAAGGTTGAAGTTACTTTTCTGGTTGTACTGTCTGAAGTTAATGTAGACGATCATTTTAGCTATTTTTCATATAATTTTTTGTTTATTTTATTAATAAAAAATATTTTAAATATAATTTTTTTCATAAATCAACAGATAGGGGTGGGATCGGGTCGGGTTGGGTCGGGTTTTTGCTAGGACCGTAAAAAACCCGAAAAGCTTCGGGTTCTACATTTTTGGGCCCGATCGGCGGACCAATACTTTCGGGTTGGTCCGGGTTTTAAGAGCCTCGGGTTCGGGTTGGGTTCGGGTCGGGTCGTATTGAACCCGCAAAAAATCGAACTGATATATCCAAACACAATTAAAATACAATTACAACAAAAATTGCAAACATCTAAACTTTTAATCAAAAAAATATACGTAGTATATTAAAATCAAAGCAGTATATTTTGAATATAAAAATCACACGATAGAAGATGTTGTAGAAGAACAATTGGTTCGAAAGCAAAGTAACATTCCCTCCGTCCCAAATTGATTTACAAAGTCAAGATTTTTTAGTCAACCAATGTTAAAGTTAAATACTCCATATTGATACATCATTCAATTTTTTATAATTAAAATTTACATATTAACAAATTACATTAAAATATATTCAAAGTTGCAAACTCCAAGTTAAATATAATTAAAAATTGACATCCAAATTAAGTGAATAAAATAAAATTGTTTGACTAAAAAAGTCATTTTTGCAAATCAATTTGGGACGGATGTAGTATAAAATAGTTCGTACGTATCACACACACACACATATTATATATATATATATATATATATATATATATATATATATATATATATATATATATATATATATATATATAATCGGTATGATGTATTAATAGGTCATACATATTTTATAATATATATATATATATATATATATATATATATATATATATATTAGTTTCTTAATTAAATCGGGTTTTTTCGGTCCGGGTCGGGCTTAAAATTTTAGAACCCGAATTAGGACCAGAGTTTTCGGGTTCGGGTCGGGTATTTCAACCCGGACCGGTCATTTTTAAAATAAAACCCGGGCCAATATCATATATTGGGTTGGGTTGGGTCGGTTCGGTTATCGGGTTTTGGGTCGGTTTTTCCCACCCCTATCAACAGAATCAGCAAATTCAACCAGAAATTCATAAATTTCAGCAGAATCAGCCGATTCAGCCAATTTCAGTGTTATCAAAGGGGCTCTAAGAAAATTTTAAAATATGAGTTATGTTTAATTTATTTCAAGAATAATGATGTTTTCTCTTGAATTGTTTTGAGTCTCAGACCATATCAGACTTGGACGATTATAAAATACACACAGACCAGACATTTACTAGATCAGACCAATTCATACTAAACCTAAAAAGACCAGACCAGACCAACAAATTTCAGTCCAAAAAAACATTCGAAAAATAATTTAATTAGCCTACATATTATACATTCTCCATCATCTTGTCTACGTCGTGGCTTCCTTTTCTCTCTCTTCTCTTCCATTCTCATCTCCCATCTCTCCTCTCGCACCTATGGCAAATCTAGACTAGACTTCTATTTTCTTATCTTCCATTCTATAATAACTTCATTTTTAGAGTGTCGATCTTGAATTCCTTCATCTTCGGCGAATGGCGGTGAGTGGCGAACAATGGTGAGCGGGGTGAGTGTGGAGCGGTGGTGGTGAGCGGCGAGCTGAGCGACCACGATGACCACGTATGGATGATGAATCTCGTCCTCCCTCTTCTTCTACCATTCTTGTTTTTGTTATTTGCCAAATTTGTGGTTTTTTATTTATTTCAAGATTTTTTATATGTATTGTTTTTTTTTTTCAATTTGAAATTGACATACCTCCAAAAAAAATTGAAGTTGACATATTTTTTTTTCCCAATTAAATAAAATCTATTGAAAATTGATTTTAGAATTATTTTATGGGATTACCTTTTGCAATCTACCACTTTGAACATGAAAATGTCACTTCAAGAATGAATTTCCTTTTTATGACACTAATGTTACGAAGATGGCAATACTTCTCATTTGATAAAAAAAATAGTGCCATGTTTTTTAATTTGAAAATGTCATCTTATTTCTGTCACGATGACAATAACATCATTAAGATGACACTCAAACTATAAGATGACACTTCAATGATAGTCATACCAGATATAAGATCATACCTAAGATCTAAGATTATAGAAGTTAGCTCAGTGGAGGCGACGTCACCAGAGGTCGCACCGTTCACGCAGATGAGGCACGATGGTGTTGGATGAGGCGGTGACATCGTCTGATGTGGCGGCGATGACGAACACCGGATATGGCGGCAACCAGCGGCAAGGCCGAATGAGGTCACATATGGAGCGGCCGGTGGCGCCTGTGGTGGTGTAGGCGGCGGCGGCGATGCCGATGGTGGCAGAGTCAATGATGACGTCGACAACGTCGATTGAGGCAATGGAGGCATCGCCGAAGATCTGTATGGTCTTGTGTGAGAGGGCTCTGTTGGGAGTGCTGAGCCTCTCATATTTTCTTTTATTATTTTAGTTTGTGTTATTATCATTTTTGAGAAAATTTTGGTGTGCATTATTGATAAACAGACTAATTTTAGTTTGTTCATTAAAGACAATTCTGTGAATCCATCTCTTTTTACTCTTAGGGAGCATTTATTGGACTCCTATTGTTACACTTAAATATTTTTTCCTCCTGATTAGAGAATTATCTCAATGATATTCATGCACTGTACGACAACTTTGCTCAAAGTGAAAAAGATGTTCTTCCATCTCCCATAATTTTTACAGAGGGGAGGAAGCTACAGATCCATTAGCCCTCGTCATGGACAACAAGCACAAAAAGACCTCCAAATCATAATAAAAAGAAATCACATTAGCCCTCGTCATGGACAAAAAAAAAAGCAGATAGTTGTTCTGATGATTCAGATGACACCTCTGAATTTGATTAGGAACTACACTCTACAGGAGTCACACTCAAAGGAGGCAATAGAATCAGATAATGGTTTTGCACTTTTGCTTCTACATCAGGCGAATCATAGGTGAGTGCTTCCACCCCCCTTTCTTTCGAAGGTTTATATAGTGTGCAGAATAACCTTACTAACTTGTGTTGTGAGCATAAAGTAGTAAAAGAGCTTAAATACAGACTTGTAAATAGTGAATCCGTTTTACGTAACCATTTAGAAATAGAAGGTAGACTTAAAAGAAAATGTGTGTGAAACCACTAAGAAGTTGATATCCATGAAACTTGAAAGAATAGAATTAACTACGATATATAGTGCAATTTTCAGGAACGTAAAAATCTTTATTCCAAAATTAAAGAACTGGAAAATTTATTAACTAAACGTGATTGACAAGTACCTTGTGGTCGGATGGCATTGTCGTGACACTCTCAATGAGGAGGTCACATGTTTGAATCTCATCTCAGTTCAAGAATGTTAGCCTTAAATAAGACTGGGTCCGAAAAAACGAAAACCGAAAATCGAATCAAATTAAACCGAACCGCGACCAAATAAACCAAACCGCTAAAAACCCGAAACGGAATGTAAAAAATCGAACTGAACCGTAGTTGTTTGGTTCGGTTTTTGGTTTTTACCCTTCAAAACCGAACTGAACTGAACACACCGAACTAATTAAAATATGAAATTTTATTTTTATTTTTTAAATTTTTAAGCATTAATCCTAATATCATCAACAGTCTTTGATTTTCTTGTGCTAGAGAAATAATGTTTAATGTTTGTGTTAG